GTCAGAGTGAAAAATATATTTGGCAATATTTCTGCTGAATTTCTCCAAGATAGGGGAGGGGGTGCTACTGTCGCCCAAATTTTTTTTTTATAGAATAGCCCCTGCATTTATGTATGTATGTATGTATGTATGTATGTATGTATGTATGTATGTATGTATGTATGTCTCTCTCTCTCTCTCTCTCTCTCTCTCTCTCTCTCTCTCTCTCTCTCTCTCTCTCTCTATATATATATATATATATATATATATATATATATATATATATATATATATATATATATATATATATATATATACAATTTTTTACTTCAGTTTCAGCCCTTGATTCCTGTGTTCTACTTCATAAATTATAACTTTATTATGAAGCCAGTTCCGTAGCAATCATGCGGCAGAGCCATTCCATCACTAGGCCTTGCTGCCAGAAGCTTGTTGGTTAAGTACTGCAATTACTAGCTTTGAAACAATGTCACTGAATAGATCAAAGGGCACCATTTCATAACACAGTTACCACAGATAATGCTTCAGTGCTTTTATAGCACTTTCAGATATTTCAGAACTCACTTGTGTATACTTCAGAAGGTTCTAATAAAGGCAGAGATCATGCCACAGAACGTCAACTGCAAATCTACACATCCGCCAGACACTGTATATCAGACACAAAAACACGACGAAGCTGCGTAACTTTGTCTGTTGTGCAGAAACGGTAATTGTTCCTGCTGGCAACAAATCTGCTCTTCAAGAAGAACCATTTTGAAGGAGTAAAATATTATGGACATCCACCATGCTCAGTGAACTGTACTTGGTCGATGAAAGTGAAACTGTCTGTTTTCTGAAACAAGGTACAGCAAACCTAATTTGCTGAATTCTTTATAGTCTTCACGCTGATGCTCTATGAAAGATTTATCAGCTGCTTCTGCACTTTCCTTCCACATAGTAATCTGAGAAACAGTTTGTGAACCATTCAAGAAAGATCATGGATTGAATGGACTGAGCGCCATGTGTTGCCTGGCTCTTTATCAGTTTAGAATCCCAGCGCAGGGAAGCATACTTTGCTGGAACCCATGACTTCCGAACTTCAGAAGCATATTCTTCATTCAACATATGCCTAAAACTGTCTGCTGTGGCATATGATACAGCAATTTTGCTAGCATCACCTCCTAATTCTTCAATAATGGCTTAATGAGTGCAGACTGTTATGCAGGAGAAAATTTCATTATTGTGGCCAAAGCCAAAATTCTTGAAGATTTGAGAATGTTATAAGATATATGAGCTGCCGTTCCAGTGCAAGTGGTTCAATGGTGTGTTTTTACCAGTTTCTTTTCAAAAGTCTTGAAAGGACTATCAATACCACATTTACTTTCATCACTACTTTCCTTGCTGAGGAAAGTAGTGAGGAAAGTTTTTCCTTGCTAGAGAGTTCTACTGTACAAATAGCAGATATTGTAGCAGTAGCAGTAGCTGCTTCTTCTGCCGTTAGTCTCCTTTCTTCATGCTTTAGCAGTTATGCCTTTATGTGCTGTAACTGTAATGCCAATTTCTTGTCATGGGAGCCATATGATGCTGTGCGGTCTGTCATCATGTACTCTAAAAACTTTACGTCTTTGTAAAGTGAAAAGTTTTTAGAGTACATGATGACAGTTTGATTTTCACAGTGAAAATGTCAAACTGAGTTCTTCTGGCATTTGTTCAAGTTAGCAAGTGTTGACAATGATGAACGATGATCTAGAGGAAGTTCACGAAGTTTTGCATTCTTTTCAGACAGTGCAATGATTTTTTTAAAGGCCTTTTCTGTTATTATTGGAATATTTGCTTTCTTAAAGAAAGGAATGACCTACTTCAACACAATTTTTGCACTGTCATGTTTTGATTGCTTTATAGACAGGCCAGCTTGTTAATGAAACATATAGCATCACAGTACTTGTTCACTTGTCAATAATCTGCAACCAGTTATCTCAGATCTGCTTCTGTAATACCAGCTTCTAATACAGAACTTTTATGAAGAGCCTTTTTTGGCATAAACTTTACAGCAGATTGTGCCATGCTATTGGTACAGTGGTTGCTAACTCCTGAAAGCACAAATAGAGTCTGAAACATTTTACAAAAGATTTGAATTATAAAACATTCTACAGTAGATTTGAATTATAAAACTCTTCATTCATGCTAAGTTAGATACAAATTTGCAATATCATAATAATGCCATAGTAAGCTATATTTCATGCATCATGTGGACCAATTAGGAATAATTATATTTTTATAATATTTCACATAGTAGTTACTAAACATTAAAGGAACATATATATTATAGGGCCATTAAAAATAAAACTCATGGGGGGGGGGGGGTTGATGCAACCTAATAAATATAAATATATAAATATATAAATATATAAATATATAAATATATATATATATATATATATATATATATATATATATATATATATATATATATATATATATATATATATATATATATATATATATATATATATATATATATATATATATATATATATATATATATATATATATATATATATATATATATATATATATATAATATATATATATATATATATATATATATATATATATATATATATATATATATATATATATATATATATATATATATATATATATATATATATATATATATATATATATATATATATATATATATATATATATATATATATATATATTAGGGTGTCCCATGTTTATCACTGATGAAATATTTTGTGAATAATTTTGATGCAGTCCCTCTTAAAAGTTTCCTAATGGTCCCACAACAACAACTGAATTTTTTTATGACAATTGAAAAATATTTAGGGGTCCCCCAAGGATCTACAATTTTTGTATAAATGGGGAAAAAATTGACCAAAGTAACTTTTTTCTAAAATCCACACCCGCCTTTTATTCAATTAAAACTAATTTGGCACTGTTCAAATAGCTATACATGTAAAACAAAATACTAGTAAAGATTATATTCTACAAGTGACAAGTGTTTTAAGCAGAAATTTAACAAAAATTATTAAAAATAGATTTTTTAGATATCTTATATATTTACTTTTATTGTAGAATAAAGACTGTGGAGCAATGGCAAAGTGTAAACCTAACACAACTCGAAGTACCGACATTATCTGGTTGATTGGCCATCCATGTGACATAATAACTGGAGCTCGCTTTCCTTCAGGTCGTGATGTTATGCAGAATTTTGTTTACTTCCAGAGGAAGCAGAAACTAACAGTTGCTTAGAGTGCACAGCAAGTACACAACCAACTACTGCCCTTCTAGATGAAATTGAGATTACCGGTTCGACACAAACCAGATATTGTTCAAAAGATTAAAGATCTTTACTCACAGCATGTTGGACTAATGAAACATTGTTCAAGGAATAATGCTAAGCATCAACAGAACCAAAAAAAATACAATGAAAAGCTGGATATTTTGTTTGATATCAGTCATGCTGATTCTGATAATCTTATCAAGAATGAGGAAGACCGACAGTTTCTAAAGTTGCAGAAAGAATCTAGAACCAGATGCATTGGATCTGTGGACAATAAAATGTTTTTCCGTGATATGCGTTCAGCAAAATGTAAAGAACGATTAGTACTCCAGCAAAGAGCAACTTCAGCAGGACAGCAATTAATGCAGGCAGATGTGGAAACTGAAAATGAAAATGAGGAAACAGCAGAATCATCGAAGTTGTGCTCCTCAGATGATGAAGACTCTATGGATGAATTTGTTGTAAAGTCTCCAACTAATAATAGACCGACCAAGCAACCCAACTGTATTAGACCGCACAAACATCAGCATTCATAAATCAACAATGATAATTGCATCAATGGTTAATGAAATTGGATGCTCCACGACATCTGTTGTTCTTTCAACAAGTACAGTCCATCATCAACGACAGCTTTTTCATTGTGAAGCTGCACAGAAGATCAAGGATGACTTTCTACCTAGTAAGTCCATCGTTTATTGGGATGGCAAACTACGACCTGACATCACTGGAGTAGACACCAACCAAGTTGATAGATTGCCAGTTCTTGTTTCTTCACTTGTTGATGGAAATATTAAACTGTTGGGAGTACCAAAGTTGACTTCTGGAACAGGACAAGTGGGATCGGAGGCAGTTCTTGACTAACTCAAATCATGGCAGTGCGATCAACGAGTCATTGGAATGTGCTTTGATACAACAGCCTCAAATACAGGCAGACTGATATATATATATATATATATATATATATATATATATATATATATATATATATATATATATATATATATATATATATATATATATATATATATATATATATATATATATATACAATGCAATAGTTGTTGTTGGTTGTTTAATTAAGTCTTACAATTAAGTTATCAACAGTTATTTGTATAAATTACTATATTTATACACTATTTTTAATTAAATTATTTAAAATAAATTTAAAGTAGTTATATATAATAGATTCTTATTTAAGTAATAACTTCTTGAGTTAAAATCAATGACCGATTTTTTTTATCAATATAATAAAAATTCAATGAACAATTAACTGAAATCCTTTAGAAATGTTTCAGTAATAACCTGTGTGACAAATTAAAGTGTGTGAATTGATGAAGATCATTGAACAAAAACTAATTTATTAAATTTGAAATATCATTTATTAAATTTAACAAGTTACTCTATAAGTTAAACCTGTGTTGAAAATGCCGTGTATAAAGAAAATTATTGAACAGAAACTTATTTATTAAATTTGAAATAGCAATTATTAAATTTAACACAAGTTACTCTATAAGTTAAACCTGTGTTGAAAATGCTGTGTATAAAGTGCTGTAGTAATTGAAGAAATATTTTTATTCTTAATTTTGTGCTTCTAACCATAACTTTACATAAAATCCAAGAGATTTTTATTACACAAAATTTACACCAGTTAAAACGTCAAATGATTAATTGTTTTCTGTGTTAAAAAAAATGTAATAAAAAAAAACTAAAGTACCCCCTTTGCTTGTCCAAAGGTTTCAAAAAAACAATCATATTCATAAATCCATTGTTTATCTTTAACAGGTCTAGCAGCAACAGCTAGTATGGCATCAAAGCGATCTAATACATCAATCCAGTGATAAAGCTCACACTAAAAAAATAATATTCTGAAATTTTTGCATATCTATCAATTGAAGTACATTTATACCAGGGCTCGAATTTAGCATATCGCGATTGCTTTTTACACCTTCGCGATTAGTTTTTTCATAAAATATATATTTTCGCAATTGGTTTACTTTTTTAGGTGCTTTCATAGTAAAGTACGTCACGCAAAGTTTGTTTTTAGTTCTTTTGCGTGGATTTTTATTCAACGTAAAGCATTTTTTAATTTAAATTACTTTAAATCTCTGTGTAGAAGCAAATTAAAAAGAAAACAGTTAAAAATAATTTTTCTTCATTCTATTTTTTTAACAAAACAGCATTTTTACCTTTTTTTAAAAGAAACATTGCTCCAAATTAACTTATTAATAATTTAAATGAGAGAACGAAGAAGAAAGTTTTTTTTTCTTAAATCGTAAATTTTGTTAGCGTTTTGATTTATATATTTTTTCTTGAAAATAGTTTTAAAAGTAGAAACATTTTATTGCAAACATCCAAGCAGTAATTGCAAATTGCAAGTTAAAATAAAAATTATAAAAAATTTAAATTAAATTCAATAAATTATTTTACTTCTGTTCAAAAAAAAAAAAAATTTTTTTAAATAATTTAAGCATATTCTTATACTTAATATAATTCGATTTTTAAACAAAATTTGTTTCACTTTTTTTAGGAAAACAATTAGAATAAAAAAAAAATGAATGAAAACATCAGTTTAAAAACCATTTGAATGAAAAACTTAATTATACTTAAATTTTTAGTAGTACGCTTGATTAGGAAACGATAATTTATAAAAAACGTGGTATCTAACTTTTTTTTGCTTTGATCTTACTCATTTGGTCTATAGATTATAAACTCGTATAGGTCTATAGGCGCAAATATGTTTTGTTTTAGTTCATTAACTAGATCAATATTATTTACTTGCTTCCTTTTATTTTAAACGCGTTTTATTTTATAAACTGTATAAATCAACACGAAACAGCGTCACAAATTTGTTTTACATTAACCCAAGCTCTTTATATTTTTAAAAAACTTTGCAGTTTATTTTAATGTTGTTTTATAGCTTTTAACAATTAAATACTTTTTAAAATTAACACGTGTTTTAACGTCAGCATGAACGTATTAAATAATTTTCTTTGACTAATTAAATTGGTTTAGATAATGTAATATTGCTTTTTGTCTTACTTTTTTTACTTTTATTTTTTTAAGTATCATTTTAAACACAAATATACTTAAAGAAAAATCTTAATAGTATTAAAAACGTTATTGCTTATTACAACTGCAACTTAAACTTATAACTTATAACTTAAGTTGTAAATAATAAACTTATAACTTATAACTTAAGTCGTAAATAATAACAGTAAATTACGCTATTTTAAACTCTGCCAAACAAGAAAATTATAAGATTTTATTTACATATGAGAGATAATATGTTAAAAATAGAACAATTACATACAAAAGATACAATTATATACAGGCTTGGCCAGGAAGGCATGCGATTTCACGCCATAATATGACCACGCAAATACTATTTGATTTTACTTAACTTGACCACGGCTGTTAATATGTTTTGAAATTCATATGTGTTTAAAAACATGCTAAAAAAATTATCTTAACTATAAAAAAACTTATCGTAAAAGAAGCAAATAATTCCTGGTAAAAAAACAAAAAAAAAAGAAAAATAACTTAGTTAAAACAGCAGAAATAAAATTAAAACTTAACTAAATTAAATAATAAACTATAATGATAAGATTATCTAAATTACGTTTGGAATAAATAATTTTAAATCGTTTATCTTTACTAATGCTTTTTAAATATAATTATGCAAATTATGCGAAATGCTTTTTAAATAAAGTAACAACAACTGACGATTGTTTAATAAACATGCACATTTAAAAGTTTAAAAAAAGATTCTTAATTCTTCGCACTAAAGAAATTAAATTGTTTATTTTAAATTTTGATTTAATTTTTTTTTTATTTAAAAACATTTATAATAAAAAATAAATACTTTTAAAAAAATATATGTTTTTATAAAAAATCATTAGCAGTGACTTGTTACTTAATTTAAGTTCAATAAAATAAAAACGTAAGTAAAGATCAAAGTTAGTTAATTCAAACGGTTTTCAAAAAGGTTTTTTTTTCTCAAAAAAAACTTCAATGAATCTTGTATGAAGTTTATTATAGACTTTCGCTTATTAAAGTCTAAATTTAAAAAAAAAAATTTTTTTTAAACTTTTACTTTTTTTTATTTTTACTTATAAAAAAATCTTATATAATTAAATAAAATAAATTAAGAAATATACAACTTTCAATGATAATTAAAATCTTTATTTAAAAGTGTTTTGATAATATAAAAACGTTAGTAAAGGTAAACGCGTCAAATTTATTTATTTTCAACGTAATTAAAAAGCCATTTTTTTAGCGCATTTATTAAAAGCCTTGGTTAAATCATCATAGCAAAATATTATTTGCGTGGTCATAAGAAGACTTGAAATTGCACGCCTTCCTGGCCAAGCCTGAATTATATACTAATTATACCCTCCTTCGCCCGTTACCGCAAAGCAGCGCAAGCTTTAGGGGGGGGGGTGGAGGAGGAGTTAAAATTTTTTTTCTTTTCGCGATTAGATTTTTTTTGCGTTAATTCGAGCCCTGTATACCTAATTAAAGTGTAAAAATTTTGAATAATTTTATCATATTTAAGAATTCAGTATATTTTTTGAAATAAAACTCACTTTTCCAAAATACCATATATTAATACGCTGTAAAGCTTCAAGTAACTTTGTATCAGGACAACTTTTTAACTCATGAATAACTTTAGCACAGTCTTCTGGCTAAAAAAAAAATATCAAATTTTATTTTACACGATATTAAAAGATAATTTATATATTTCAAAATAAAAAAAATTTTCGCTGAACATGCAATGCAAGCTACGTAACGCTTCTTATCAAGGCCTGTAATATATATATATATATATATATATATATATATATATATATATATATATATATATATATATATATATATATATATATATCAGGCCTTGTGATAAAGCGTCGGGCGATGTGAATTTTACGTCGTCCAAGAGCGATTTTGCGTGTAGCTAGGGCTATTTACGTCCAGCAAAAAATTTTTTGTTTGAGTATATTTTAAGATATTCTTGAGCAGAAGTTTAATGAAGTAGTTTACGATTATTTTAACATTTAATAAAGTATTTTAAAAACCGCACGCAGTTGATATAAAAGTTTGAATTACAAAAAATTTAAATATGCTCATTATTTACAAGTAAAAAAAGTTCAGATTAAAAAAAAAAGTTTAAATCTTTTTAAGCTAACATTTTAATAAATTATTCAGCAATAGCAAAGTTGTCGATAAAACTGAACAAAAATACTTTCTTTTAGTTTTAGATTTATAACTTAATTATTTTACGGGGGTTTGTTATGTTTTAAAATTATTCCACAGATTTAAAAATATTGATTAACTGCTTGATATATTTAAAGTATTTAAGAGTAATTTCGAGGAAACATTTTAAAAAATGGTAAGCGCAAATAAAAATATTTTATTTGCGCAAAGATTTTTATTCTAACATTTTATTTCATTTTATTTTACTAGAAATAAAATTCCTTGTAAACATTAAAAATCTATTCAAAACGTTCGTTAAAGTTTTTTAGTAATACGAGTGATTGTGCTTATTAACTGCTTTATGAAAATAAATAAAAATAAATAAATAAAAAAATATTATATAAAATCGCTGGTAAAAATATTAGCTATTGCACAGTTTTTAATCGTACAATATTAAAATTTCCAGTTTTTTACTCGCTGACTTTTTAAAAAGAAAAAATAATTATTTGAAAAACTTTAAATTACATATTTGAGAAGAAAAAAAATCAAATATCAGCATTTATAATCTTTTTTAAGAGTTTAGTTATGTTTTATATTCGTTTAGTATAGACAAAACGTGACCAACGCCAAGAAAATAAACAAATGTTTTTACATTTTAAAAAACGAAACATTCTAAAACATTTTTAAATAATAACATTTCTACATTAAAGATTTAAAGTAGTTTTGCGGTAATTAAGTAAATTAATGCAGTTAATGTCGCTAAATATGAAAAACAAATAAAAAGAATTTAATGACGTCAAAAATCACGTCGTGCTTATGCGTCGCGCAGTTTTTATTCATCACAAGGCCTGTATATATATATATATATATATATATATATATAATATATATATATATATATATATCAGGCCTTGTTTTAAATAAAAAAGTGCTTAATGCATTAGCTTAACGCAATTTTGACGTCATAAAATTATCTTTATTTTTTTTTATAGACATTAAGTGTTTTAACTACCGCAATAAATAAATAACCGCAAACTAATTCAATTTAACAATTAACTCAAATATAAACTATAAACGTTTTAAATATAAATTTATTATGAAAATTTTGTAATGTTTTCAATTGTTATTTTATTATTAATTTTAGTTCAATATTATTTAGTAAAAAAAATATATATATATATTAATTATTTCTGAAATTTGTTTTTGAATAATTGTTTTTAATCGTTATTGAATAAAAAATAATAATGATTTTTTTTATTTTTAAAAATTTCTAGAGTAAACAAAAAATATTAACATTGATAAACACAAACCCATGTTAATTATTTAAACAACGATTTTGTTTTGACTAGCAAAGAAAAATTTAAGTTTTTAAATATTTTTTAAATTTTTAAAAGCGTTTCAACTTGCGTTTTATAAAAATAAAAAAAAGTTTTGTCTGCTTTGAAGCGTATTTTTGATACGTAGTTTAGAACGCGTTCGCTAGGAATTTAATTCATAAACTTTTTATGTTATTGTAAAAATATTTAACTTTTTAAACAAATCACAAAGAAACAGAGCTATAGAGAAAAATCGTTTTCAACGATTAAATCTTTTTTTTTTTTTAAATTTTAGGAAATTAAAAAAAGTCTTAATTATGCAAACTCTTTTATTAATTATTCTTAAAACAAAAAAACAAATACTTGTACGCCAAACTTTAATCGTGCAAACTTATAAAAATACTCAACTGAAATAATTTAAGTATATTTAACAATTTGAATCGTATCTGTTTATAATAAACGTTCGTAAAAATTTGTTTATTAAAAATTAAGTTCCTTAACTTATAAACAAACTCAAAAGTATTTTCATTCTACGTATAATTACAAAACTCTATTTTTTTTTTTCGTTTTTAAGCAATTTAACTTAATAAAAAAAAAAAAAAATAATAAATATGAGGTAATCTTTGTTAAGAATAAATTTAATTTATTTATTGAACTATATTTTCATTTTTAATTACATATCAACTTAATTAAAATATAGTAACATGTTTAAATATTTTAACATGACTTGTATTATTTATAAACCGTTGGGCAGTTGCCCTTACGGCACTATTGTTTTTGGATAATATTTTATTTTGATGAAGATCACATAACTTACATTTGATTTTAATAACGTAAGTCTTCTCTTTTTCTGTGATCATCGCATCGGCAAAGTCCCAAGATTTAAAAATTTTTAAAGTATATTTTTTGTCCTTCAAAATACAATCCATATTCGAACTTTAAATTATTTAGAGATAATAGAAATATACAAGGTTTTTATATACTAGTTTGTTTTGTTTTATAAAGAAAAATACATATTCATTAGTAAAAAATGGAGACTGTCATTAAACTAAAACGTGCCTTAGTATTTATTTAACAGAACCTGTAATGTGCGCGTGCATAGTAAAACCTCCGTTATATAAATATATTCAACGTAATATTAGTGTCATCAGCGGATGTTGTAGTCTACTCATGATTTCTTTACCTTATATTATAACTTGATTTATGACAAAAAAAACTTATTGAATCGCACGCAGAAGAATTTTAACAAATTGTCTTCATTCAAATATTGCGAGTAACAGGTAATTTTTTTTTACAGGTAATTTGCGAGTAACAGGTAATTTTTCTGTGCCGATCCCCTCCCCCCGCATAACTTAAACTATATACTAATAAACTAATAAGAAAAGCTATATACTATTAAACTAACTATAAGCTATGTACTATTAAACTAATAAGAAAAACAAAGACATTTTTTTTAACATCTCGAAAAAATGTCTTGATATTTTTGTTATCATGATAACAAAAATATTAAGACATTTTTTGAGATTTTATTTTAAAAAAATGTCAATTCTTAATTACAAATTTTTTTGCAAATGTTTTTTATTATAAATTCAGTAATAAACTTATAAAAAATCTATATTACAAAAAACTTTTATATTCTGTATTAATAAATATGGAATATAGATTTTTTAAAAGTTTTTTACTAAAAACTTTACTACTTTTTATTAAAAACATTGCAAAAAATTTGTAGTTAAGGATTGACAAACAATATTTCATGTTGCTAAATATTTGGATAAAAAGTTTAGCGTCTAATTAATTGCTATAAAAAGGAAAGATATATCGCGATGAAAAGTTACAACAATTAATTTTAAAGTAAATTCTTTTTTTTAATAAATACCTTTACATATCGTTATTTAAAAGTTAATGTGGTTTTTTTGAAAATTAATTACTTCTTTTATGTTACCGCTAATTTAAAAGTTAAAAAATGATAAAAAGTAGCTTAACCAAAACAGCTCTACGCGTACGTAAAAAGCGCTTAAGGCGTACGTAAATCGCTCTAGGCGTAACGCTTTAAAACAAGGCCTGTATATGTATATCAGGTTGGACAGGAATGGCGTGCGATCGCACTCTGTATCTGACCACGCTAATATTTTTATTTCTTTACAACTTGACCACGGCTATTTTGATGTTTTAACAATTTGAATGCAATAAAAAAAGTGTTACGTTATTTATATCTTTTAATTGTTGATCTTTTCTAAAGTTTTTTATTTTATGCAAAAACTTTAAATAAAACCATAAAATTAATTATAGTTATTGTTTACATAAACGCTTGTGTAATTAATAAAAAACGTTATAAATAAGTTTTTTTTATGTAGGCATTTATTTATGATAAATTTAAACGTTTGAAACTATTTTCTTATGTCTTCCTAAAACATTTTTAAACCATTATTTTTAGTAAAAATTTTTTTAAGCTACTTTAATTTGTAAATAAGTCCAAAAGCTTTTGAGACTACCAACTTTTACGCACTTTATTTGAATTACACAAGAATATAAAATAACTTTATTTACTTATATAAACATGTATTTTGTTGATTTAATGAAAAAGTTTTAAAGCATTTTGTAATGTTCATACGATTAATTTTTATGATTAAACTTACGATTTTTAAAAATGTTTTAAATAAACATTTTATTTTTTGTAAACAATTTTTTTTTTTTTTTTTGAATTTCGTTAAGAAATGAATGAGATTTTTTATAATAATTTTTAATTCGTTACGCGAAGTGCTTATTTATAAAGTTGTAATGCTCAAATTAAAATTAAATTAAAAAGCTTGTTTATTTTATTTAAATCGCAGGCACATTTTTTTTTTTTTTTTTAATTTTATTTTTATGAATAAAAAAGTTTAAAACCTTTTTTTAAATTAGACTCACTAATTGGAGTATGAAATTAGTAAAAATTACTATTTTAAAAAGATTACATTATTTTTCTAAACAATTTATTTTTTGCAACTTTTTTGACAAAATAAATGTTTATACAATTTAAAAACATATAAAACACTTATTAATAAATTTAATAAAATTTGTTCTTTTATTAAACCAATCATTAGTAGTAATTTGTTACTTAATTTAAAAACGTTTTGCGTAAGTTTAATAACGTTAAAAAGTTTTAATAACGTTTATTTCATACATAATTAAAAACG